GGACAAATATTTTTATGTTCTCCTGTTTATAGAAACAAAATTCTGTTAATGGAAGAGACCCTATCTAAGGAAGACACTCTGCTAACAAAATGTAGGCTGGCCTTTTTTGGTATTTGCTTGTCTCACAAGTGTATTGTCTCAAGACACTGAAATAACTTAGAAGTTGCATGATTGCTTCTCAGTTTTGCAAAAATGTATTTAGTAATCAAGAATGATGAAACATTGTCTTTTACAGAATGTTGTAAAGGAAGTAATTGATTATTGTAGACTAAATGACTTCTCGGGAATCATGTTAGATGTTGCATCAATGGGGGATGGCCACCAGATGGCAACCAGAGACCATGCAATGGATTTTGTAAGCACGCGTAAGAAAGATCAACCCAGGGCTCCTTTGTGAGTCTGGCAGCTTTCACCGAACTAGTTATAAAAAATGATAAGTACTGGTCCAGATTGCGACATAGTCACATTAATTTTTGTAATGCTATAACATGAGAAATATCTTTTTATGAAAGACTAGTTCTCGTTTTTAATTGATCAGGGTTTTTCTCATGAGATTAAATAGTATTTCAAATTCTCAAAGTTGCAGTGAAAATTAACACAACCTGTTAGAGAAAAATTTGACATATATTTATCAAAATTGAAACAAGAATCAGCCTCTGAAAACATTTTCACATCTAAGAATCTATCTTATTGAAATACATATTCATAGGGCTGAGGCTGTAGCTCAGTGGCAGAGCGCTTGCCTAGCATATGTAAGGCACTTGGGTTTGATCCTTAGCACCACGTAAAAATAATAAAAACAAATAAAATAAAGGCATTCTGTCCATCTACAACTATAAAAAAAATTGAAAAAAATACACATGTATAGACATATATAAGAATGATCACTTTTATAAGCATTTTTTTTATTTGTTACAGCATTGTTTTTAATAGAGAAAAAATTGCAAGCAGTTTAATGTCTATCAGAAGTCTATTTAAATAAAAATTAACTAAGGGAAAAAATGAGGTAGAATTTTCTGTTTCTGAAAAAAAAGGATATCCAAGGTTTATTAATTAAAAGGTCACAGATGATATATACATAGACGTTGAGCATTTATTTTTGTGTTATTTGTATATGGATTGAAAAAATAACACTGAACTGTTATAATAGTTAACTCTGGGAGAGGAGAATTAACTTATTGGCACATGGACGTCTGTACTGTTTGCAGACACATTTAAAAATAATTATAATTTAACCGGGTGTGGTGGTACATGCCTGTAGTTCCAGCTACTCAGGAGGATCCTGTGGAGCCTATGAGTTCGGGACCAGCCTGGGAAACACAGGGAGACCATATTTGAAAAAACAAAAAAAATACATTGTAATTTTAAGATATTATAGAAATTTTGGAAGGAAAGCAAAAGTATATAATCTCAACAACTAACAGTCAATATACTGTGACTATTATGAAGAATACAGTGTCTTTTTAAAAAATTTAACAATAGTTGTACACATTTTATGGGATACAGTGTGATAAGTCAATACATTCATACAATGTGTAATGATCAATAAGGGTAATTAGCATTTCCATTTCCTTGAATATTTATCATTTCTTTGTGTTTGGAGACTTGGAGCTTCTCTTTTCTAAGTTCTTTGTAAAATATGCAATGAATTGTTGCAAATATATTCACCCTACTGTGCGGTACAGCACCAGCACTTATCCCTCCTATCTATGACTTATCCCCTCATGTTCTTGTTCTCTAGGGAACACTATTCTTCTCTCTACTTCTGAGATTAGTTTTTTTAGCTTCCAAATATAAGTGAGAACATACATTTTTTTCAAGGCAATATTTCTAGAATGAAATATTTCTGAACCTTATCTTGGCCCCAATGTGTAAGTATAGAAAGCTGCAAATGTGGAGAAGATAAGCCTGGCTTCCTATCTTAAAAGCCTATTTATGTAGTATTACTGCCTTGGTTCAAATCCCAGCTCCACTATTTACTAACTGTGTGGCCTTAGGCAAACAATCCAACCTCTCTGAGCCTTAACTTTCTCTATGAAATGAAAACAATAAAATCATCAACTTTGTAGGGTTAGGAGAACCAAATGATTTAATATGTGAAAAGTACTCAGAACAACACCCAGAAGATAGTAAGAGCTTAGGAACTGTTGGTGATCATTACAGCACAGGGTAGCAAATCCCTTCACTGCTAATTTGGCTCTGCTTACTCTCAAGGCAAAATTTTTAGCATCTCTGCAAACAGCAATTATAAATAGAAAAGACGATTTGTAGTTGTTTTATTTTTTGAAATTAATCTGTTAAATTATTTTGAGATTAGCTTTCAATTTCATATACATCCATACATTTAAATTTGCCAGGTCTCTTAACCAGCTAAAGCAGCCTCCTTTGAGTTGCTTTCTAAAGGACCCTCATTTCCTCCCTTCTCTTCCTTCTCCCAACCTCCTTGATTAACCCCTTTTTATATGCAGCTCACCTGCCCTCTTGTAACCTTTTTATTCCATCTTCTCAAAGTAGGTCTCTTTTCCCCACAGATAGCAACATCATGATTTATTTATGCGTTTTGTGGGCTTCCTAAGTAAACTGTAAAACTGCAAAAACACGCAAGCACTGGTTCTGTCTTGCAGACCAAGTAGTGGGTAGTATATAGTAGAACTTTAAGAATGAAAAGGAATTTGAATTGGTGGAGACCAGTGAGGGTATTTCAAACTGGGAGAAATATCAGCAGAAGTTTCCAATAGTACCTGGGCATGGTGGTGTGTACCTGTCATCCAGCTATTTAGGAAGCTGAGGCAGAAGGATTGCTTGAGCTCAGGTAGGGATGATCGGGTGGGGTGAATCAATGGGTACTTAGATAGAAGAAGTAAGTTCTGGTGTTTTACTGCATTGTAGGATGACTATAAATAATACACTGTATATTTTGAATGTGTTCACAAAAAATGATGTTTGAGAAGATAGATATTTATGTTCTTTTTGGAGCATATGTCTCTTTTCCAGCCTGGAATTTCTATGGAAATAATAATGAATAAATACCATTTGTTGAGATGCCTGTTGCTGCAGGTACCTTTCTCAATTAGCCCATTTAATACTCCTGACATCTCAAACATCAAACATCTCAAAAATCTTACCCTGATTTTTTTTCTCCTATACTGCAGATTTAACCCACTGGTACCTTACACTGAGCTTTTACATGCTCATCTCTTCTCCCTTTTTTTTTTTTTTTTGAAATAGGGTCTTACCAAGTTCCCAAGGCTGCCCTGGAACTTGTGATCCTCCTGCCTCAGTCTCCTGAGTTGCTGGGATTATAGGCAAGTGCCATCACTTCCCACACTTATCTTGATTTGAACATTACATAGTGTATATGTGTACCAAAACATAAATCTGTACACTTTTATATGTCAATTAAAAAATTAAAAATAAAGTAAAAAAGAGCATATAGGAAAATATGTAAATACAACACCATTTTATATAAGGGATTTGAGCATCCACAGATTTGGTGTCTGGGGGGCTAAGGTGTGAAGGGTATAGAGGTCACGAGGGAAAGGGAATCCTGGAATCAATCCCCTAAGGATTTGTATACACCAACCCTAGGATACACAAATATACATTCTGGGTAGCTTGATAACATTTTGGTTGCTGTTGAAGATTTGAAATAAAAACAGAGAACTGGGCTGGGGATGTATCTCAGAGGTAAAGCACTTTAGTTAGATCCTCGACACCGCTACAAACCAAAACAACTCCCCACAAACTGAATTTCATATGATTAACTCACAAACAAGACATCATACAGACTGTACTCTGAAGTCCTTTCCAATTCCCATGCTATATTCCTGGATTTTTCACTCTAGAGTGTGCTATGGATGAGTGAATTGTCTTTTTTCTCTTCCCATACAGTCTATCTCAACTGTAATTCCAACACCAGACAGAACAGGTCAGATACATTTGCTGGATTCACTGAATCTTGTCTGTGTTGACAATTTTCTAGACACCCTTGGGATACATCAAGGAATGAAAGAAAGAACCCTGCCCTTGAGGAGCTCACATTCTAAGAGGACTGCCAAGCACTAATAATAAACATAAAAACAAATTCTATAGAATTTTAAGAGGTACTAAATGCTTAGGAAAAGAGAAATCATAGAGCTAGGAGAAAGAGATGGGCCCCAATTTTTCACCTTTGGAATTTTCAAATGAAGCGAAGTATGTAAAGTGTACAATATACTTTTTAGAAAATTTTTTTTTGGTTGTAGATGAACACAATATTTTATTTATTTTTATGTGGTGCTGAAGATCGAACCCAGTGCATCACACATGCAAGGCAAGCGCTCTACCACTGAGCTACAACCCTAGCCAGAAAATATACAATGTACTTTTATGAGTCTTATTTGTTTTATTTATGTTCTTTTTGGAGGATATGTCTTTTTTCCAGCCTGGAATTTCTATGGCAATGATAATGAATAAATACCATTTATTGAGATGCCTGTCGCTGTAGATACCTTTCGCAATTAGCCCATTGAATCCTCCTGACATCTCAAAAGGCAAGTATTACCATTCCCCCTTTTCTAAGAGCAAATTTAAGTGCACTCCCAATGGACATCAACGTTTCTTTCCTGGAGTGCAGTGAAGAGATTTAAGTTATTTAACTGGATCTGATTATTTCAGGATAAAAAAAGAGATTGACAAGCGCCCTCCTCCGACTTCTTAAAGTCAACCAGGGCGAAGTACGCGAGAGCACCTGGGTTCCAAAGAGATCCTGGTTTCTTTGAGCCTGGCGAACACAGCGGACTCTCAGGCCACAGAGTTTATACAGCTAAGGCCCGGAACGGCCACAGTACGCGTGCGCAGGAAGGAGCCGGAGCCGGCGCAGGCTTGCCAGAACAGTGGGTGGAGCCTATGCAAGAGGAAGGGGGCGGGGCCATTCTCTCCCAGCGCAAAGGCGTCCCAGACTGGTTTGTCCCACGTTGCGGCCCTTAGAGCCTCGAAGTTGCTGCCTCCTGCCTGGGAGTGGTGGAGATTAAATCATGTGACAGCGGGGAGGCCGGAACTGGCCCGGCTGTGTGAAGAACAGGGCTTTGATAAAAACAAACGGCGACGGCGTCTCGGCTGTGTCTATGGCCGAGGCGGTGAAGCCCCAGCGCCGGGCCAAGGCCAAGGCCAGCCGGACTAAAACCAAGGTGAGGAGCCGTGCCTCCCTCCGGAGGCACCGGCAGTGCGCTGCCGCCTTTCTTTCCCTTGGGCCTCTCCAGCCAACTCTACTCCCATTCCTTGAGCCTCTGCATCCTTCGCTTCCAGCATCTGATCCCACCATTCATTGACACCGGCCCTGCACCTCCATTCCTCCTCAGCTCCGCCTGCCACACTGTCAGGAGCCCACTTCGCCTTCTCCCTCCTCTGATCTTACCCAGCTCTTGCTTTTCTGCTCTCTTCTTGACTTTTCTCACCAGGGTTTGGATTCCTGCTGTGAAACACCTCCCCACCCCCTTTTAATTGCATCTTATTTATTTCATTTTATTTTTTTGTAACGTGGGATTTTTGTTAGTCTCTCCTTGCACAAAGAGGAGAGAGACTTCTCCTCCACACTGAGACGGTATCCTCTGTCTGAGCTTTATGGGTAGCCACAGATTATAAAATAGACTGTGATGATGTGTCAGTCCTCTTCACTTTCAAAATTGAGGGTGGTACTGCTGTTTCTTCTTATCCCAGTTGTTTATGATGGACTAGAAATTAACCCCAGGCAGGACTCACATAGTAGGAACTTATTTGGGTTTTTCGAGTTTCCTGGTTTAGACTACTTCTGCTATTAATGTAGTTTTAAGTTGATTTGTTCTGTTTTTAGGTGTAAGTTTGGATTTTCATTTTGTCCCTATATATTTTTTTACACTGAATAGATTAAATGCGACTCCTAGATGGCCGGACCTAGGTAATTTGGCTTACCTGAAGCAATTTATATAAACGAAGCAAAGAGGATGGTATTACAACTACAGAAAATTTTCTTTCCAAGTAGTGGGTGATGTTCCAGAGCAGGTGTAACTTAAGCATGATGCCATAATCTGATCCTCCCCACCCCACGGGAACAGGGTTTTAACAAGGTTTTTCATGGTTATCTTATTTACTGAAAATGACTTATGTGGATCACTCTCATTGTGATGTCTTCTTAAAAGTTGTAGTGGAATTAGGCACATCAGTGCATCCAGGTCTATCAGGAGTCACTCACTGAGAAAGCCATTTTGGTACCTAATTTTAGAAATACTTTAAAGAGAAATAACTTTACATTGTAGTAGATTGGTAGAGAACTATCTACACATAAAAGAAAGAGAAAACTTATTGACCAGGCATGCATAAAGTCCCTGAAATTAAAATAGAGTAAGTAGTACATAACATATGAACATCAGTTGTCTATAGAGAGTAGAATCTAAAATCTTAATATCTATGCTTTTTTCTCCTCAAGTAAATGATGAAACTAAATCATAGATGGTTTAAATGATAGTCCAGAGTCATTCAGTAAGCATGGAACTCAAGGTAAGTCAGAAATTCTGACTCTCAATCAGTAGCTTAATAATTATTTCATATCATATGTCTAGATGTCTCTATTTGTAGAACATTTTAAATGCTTAAGACGATCAGTGAAGAGGTTTCTCAAGTTATTTTGTTTAAAACAATTTCTAAATTAAAAAAATTGAAAACTGTCTACTTTTGAATCCCTCCACAAAAGCCAATTGCTTATTTTATTGACATATTTCCTAGACAAACTTTCAATAGATTTTCTTAACTGTTTATGAAGAGGAGATGGGCGCAGTGGCACATGCCGGTAATTCCAGTGACTAGGAAGGCTGAGGCAGGAGGATGGCAATTTATTGAGGCCCACAAGCAATTTAGTGATATCCTGTCTCAAAATAAAAAATAAAAAGGGCCGGAGATGTAGCTCAGTGGTTAAGCACCCCTGGGTTTAATCCCCAGTATAAAAAAAAAAAATGAGGAGTAGCAGGTGTGATAGTGCATGCCTATAATCCCAACAACTGGGAAAACTGAGGCAGGAGCACAGCAAGTTTAAGGTCAGCCTGGGCAACTTCGTAAAATCCTGTCTCAAAATGAAATTAAAGGGGGGCTGTGGATGTAGCTCAGTGGCATAGTGCCCCTGGGTTCAATCTCCAGTACTGCAAAAACAAAATAATAATAAAGAGACCTTCATTTCAGAGGCATTTTTTCAAACCAGAAATCTTTGTTACATACTCTTTCCTCATCCTGTAAATCTAATTAGTCACTAAATCTTATCAGTTGTATTTCCCAAATATTCTTTTTATTCTGCCTATTCCTCTCTGTTCTAACTACCATGACCCTTTTCCAAAGAGGATTTCTGCTGAATTAATCTCTTCACACTCATTCTTGCTGCCCATTCTCTAAACAAGCTTGTTTGATCAAAAGTTTTCCTAGGTTTCCCATCTCCCAGGGGTTAGAGTTAAAAGCATTAAAGCCATGCATGATCTGGCCTTCTTCCTCCTTAGCTTTAGTTCTATTACCACTCTCTTTTGATTCTCAACCGTATGATCCTTTCCTGCTGCAGGGCCTTTGCACATTCTGTTTTTTTCTTCCCTGACACCCTAATTCTAGGCCCTCTTCATGTAGCCAACTACTGCTCATTTATGATGTCTCAGTTTAAATACTTACTCAGAGAAGCTTTTCCTCAGCCGATTCTCATGTTACTCTCTCCTTCAGTAACACTTTACCCCCCTTCTGTGTCCTTCATCTCACTTGTAGTTACTTTGCCACATTTGTCTTCTCCTTTCTATTGTGAACTCACTGAGGGAGGGACCTGTCTTGTTCCCAGTACCCTTCACAACTCCTGAAGTCACTTGATAATTTGTGTGTGTATTGGGGGTGGGGCTGGGTGTTTAATCCAGGGATGCTCTACTGTTTGAGCTATACCCCTGATACCCAATTAATTTTGAGATGGGGTCTTGCTAAATTACTGAGGTTGGCCTTGAATTTGCCATCCTCCTGTCTCAGAGTCCCAAAGTGCTGGGATTACAGAGGTGCACCACCATGCCTGGTGAACAATGTTTGTAGAATGAAGAAATAAATGCCAGAATTGAAGTATACTTCTAACCTTTGTCACTCAATTTCACTCTAGTAAATTTCCTCTGATGGTATAAGAAAACAAATAGAAAAAGTCCACCACCAGCAAGACCCTCTTCCTTGTCAATTTAAGAAAACTAACTCTTCTTTTAGAATAAGATGCCTTTCTTAATGCTGATTGTGGTTCATCGTTGTTTTATAGTCCTTTATTAATGAAACCTTTCCATCTGTGATACAATTTGGCCACTGTTTACAGAGCTATAAAGTAGCTTCAAAGCACAGCCCAAGTGTATAGTGTCATGTGCTATTGTCTTTAGTTTGAGTGGCTTCTGGATTTTACCCAGCTGCTGACCTACATTCCTCAATGTTAATCATCTGGTAGGTGACCTCATGCACTACATTGCCTTTAGGTGTATGGTGTTTTTCACCTGGTACCTTAAAGATAACATTAGATAATGTTCTAATAACATTTTCATTTCAGTATCATTCTTTGCTAAAACATCCCCCAACTCTGAGGACCCTGACTTCCTTGATCTTGGTGAATTTTGTGTCAGGAAAAGAAAATTCTTAGATTTGAACTTTAGTCTTCAGGAGTAGCAGATTTCATAATTATAGAAAGTATTTTTACAGTTAATATTAAATTCTGAATACCAACAACTCATTAATAGTAAGAGCATCTAGTATTTGCTAAGGAGTGACTGAGAGGTTTCCTGGAAAGCTGGTAGCAGACACCAGAAGATCATTAAATCCCCATCCCTTTGCTCCCTGCTTAGGCATTGAATTCTACCTCTGGTCCCTCCCCACTATGAGGGGATATGAGACTGAATTGGGGCATGCTGTGTAGTATGACTTAGTTTATTTTGTGTCTCCTAATGTCCATTCACATGTTAAGCAGTTGTTGATCATCTGTTGTGTCCCAGAAATGATTTTAGGCACTTGGAGTAAAAAAAGAGAAAGAACCCAAAGAACTGGCCTTCATGAAGCTTCTATTCTTGAGGGAGAAGACAGACAAAAAGCAAAGCAAAACAAAACAAAACCTCATAAAAATTAAAATATACCAGGGCTGGGGATGTAGCTCAGTGGTAGAGTGCTTGTCCCATGCACGAGGCCCTGGGTTTAATTCTTAGCACCACCAAAATATGTGTGTGTGTGTGTGTGTGTGTGTGTGTATGTATACAACATGCACATATACTTGTATATGTGTATATATGTGCATATATAGTATACATCACATTAGTAGGTGTAAATGCTGTGGAGAAAAGAAAAGAACAGGGTAAAGAGTTGGGGAGTACAGGTGAGGAAGTAGGATGGGATACAGTTTTAAATAGGCAGGGTAGGTCTTACTGAAGGTGACTTTTAAGTGAAGGTGTGTAAGAGATAAGAGATTTTGTCATGTGGGTTATGCACGTGAGTATTTCAGCAGAGGGAACAGCTGGAGTAAAGTTGTTACACGGTGGGGGGAGTGATGGCGATTGAGGTGAGAAGGATAGGTCCTTGTCAGGAACAGAATCACCCTAAGTTTTGAGCAGACAAGGGATGTGACCTCATTTAAAGCTCTCAGGGATCACTGTGTTTTCTTTGTTGAGAATGGGTTGTAAGGGCTGGGGTAGAAGTACAGAGACCATCCAAGAGACTTGAAGCCAGCCAGGCAAGAGGGAATGATAACTTGGACCAGGGTAATAGTAGCTAAGGTGCAAGGAAGTGTTTCAAATCCGAGAGGCAAGAGGATTTGCTGAGGTTTGGCTGTGGCATGTGAGAAGAAACTGTCGGGAACACTGAGGGTAGAACAGGTTTTTCTGGGAAGCTTAGATATGTTTTGAATGTGTTAATTTTCGGCATTCACCAGGAGAGTAGGGTTGGGTATGTGAATTTTACGAGAGAGAGCTTCAGGCTGGAGAAAGAGATTTGCAAGTCATTAGCAAATAGATGATATTTAAAGCCAGAATCTGAATTAGGTCATTTGGAGAATGATTATAGTTAAAAAGGTGACAAGAACTGAACTCAGGGACACTCCTATTTTAAGAGGTTGGGGAGAAGAGGTGCAGCCATCCTGGTAGGATGTGTTCCTGGTGCCCTCTACTGAGAGTGTAGTGCCCTAGAA